ACGTTTATCTCTCTGTTTTTGTTTGCGAGTGTTCTCAGTGCTGTTTGCACCACTGGCTGAACTCTGTTCCATTCTTAATTTTCTCAAAATTATATTCATATTTCTGGTCGTCAATCAATGTTCTTTTCTTCTTTTGATTCACCCCATAGTTGACCAACCTCTCCATGCTGAATTCAACCGAGAAATGCAGTTTTGTGAATTTTTTTTTAATTCGCGGATTTTCTTGTACAAATTTAGAAAATTTTCTTCCTTCTCAATAATAAAAAAATTCTACCTTTTGTTTATTCTACCTTTTGATCGTTCTACCTTTTGATTGTTCTACCTTTTGTCATTCTACCTTTTGTAATTCTACCTTTTGATTGTTCTACCTTTTGTAATTCTACCTTTTGTAATTCTACCTTTTGATTGTTCTACCTTTTGTCATTCTACCTTTTGTAATTCTACCTTTTGTACGTGAGCCATCTACATGGATCATGATTTAGATCAGAGGTCATTCCCCTCCATTTTGACCTCTATGAACTCAGAAAACACTGGAATATTCCACTTTGTTCACTGTAATTCAATTATTTTAAGTTAATCAGGCATGTTATCGTATTTTCTGAGATCAAACATGTCGATGATCAAAGACATTAAGGACTCAACTCACTAGTGTATGTAAGCCAAAAAAATATGAAAACATGTCTGATTAACTTAATAATTCAATTAGAGTGAAAAAAGTGGTATTTTCCCGTATTTTCTTAGTTCATGGAGGTCAAAATTGAGGTCAATGACCTCCGCTCTAAAATTTTATTCATGATCCATGTAGATGACCTTTATTAGAGGCTGCATATAAAATTTCAGTCTTCTATCTCAATTATTAGGACCAAACGCAGTCTGTACAAAATTTGGTGTCAAAAAGTGCCGAATTGCCCCCCCCCCTCTCTTTTTTTTTGAAAATTAATGCGCTAATCTGGTTTGTATACAACTGTAAAAGGTTAAAGTCTTACAAAAATGTAGGGGGATTTTCGAAATATCCATTAAACCTTATTTATTTTATGTTTTTAACGCACATAAAATTTAAATCTCTTTAGGGCCAGGATATCTACAGCTTGGATCGGATGGAGCGACCTCCCTCACCCCCCGGACAGAATATATTTAATCTTGAGGGAGGAGGGGGAGGAGGTGGTGGTGGGGCTCAGGTTTATGAATGCGAACCCATGAAGTGGGCTTGTGTCAACTGTACATACTTCAACTACTCAAGGTAGGTCATCTTATGTTAAATTCAAGAGGAAGACAGACAGCGTGTTTATTTTCTCCAAAAACCATCCCCCCCCCTTTGAAAATCATTTTTCCTCATATGATATTTATGCCTTCTAGGGGATATTTCCTTGAATTTAGGGAACATAAATGATTTTTAGGAGAAAATAATTAAAATTTTGGGTAAAAAGAATGAATAAAGTTGCTTTTTGGTGTGCAATTTTCCTTTTTCCCCCACAACTTATAAAGATCGTTGTGAAAAATAACATCTCTTGAGAGTAAAGCTAGTGCTTAGGATCAGGATCCGCAACATTTCGACTTTCTGGATCCGGATCCGGATTCGCAAAAATCTGCGGATCTGCAAAGTAAAATAGCAATCAAAACTGAACAATTTTCCTTTTCAAAAAAGCAGTTCTGCTCTGTTAATTAATGAGAGATTATTAAAAACTTCATAATATCTGAATGATTCATCATGTTTAGCGTAAAAATAAAAAAAAACCGTTTTTAATTTGTTAAAAAAATGAGTAAATCTTGAAGAAATATTTTACGTTTTTGATCCGGTTCCTGGTCCATTTTTTTCATAGTGGATCCATTATCTGAATCCGCATACAAATAAAATGGATTCAGAGTGGATCCATTATCTGAATCCGCATACCAAAAAATGGATTCAAAGTGGATCCATTATCTGAATCCGCATACAAATAAAATGGATTCAGAGTGGATCCATTATCTGAATCCACATACAAATAAAATGGATTCAGAGTGGATCCATTATCTGAATCCGCATACAAATATAATGGATTCAGAGTGGATCCATTATCTGAATCCGCATACAAATAAAATGGATTGGGTAGAATTAAGAAGGGTTTTATGTGGTTTGTTCACAGTTGACTATGACGTAGTATTTGGACAGGATTAGAAACTAGTTTTTATATAATCAAACATGGTGCAAGTCGAAAGTAGTCCTATTATTCTTGTGTTTTCAATTCATAATAGATTCATTTTTGAATTTGATTATTCCAATATTTATCATTCATCATTTCGAATTTTTTTCCTTTTTAATTTAATTAGTTAATATGAGATTTCGCTTTCTCTTAAATATACAAACAAAATTAGGTTTAATTTTTCAATTTCATGCCTATTTATATGAATATTTGATATAGGATCAGGGGATAAATATTTAAATACCAAATTTTTATCTCCGGGTTATTCTTTCTTATTCTAGATAAAAACCAATATTGAACAATCTTAGATATACTTTATCTAGAATATTAGATATTAATCGCAACATAGAAACAAAAAAAAATTACTATGTAAAGGTGAGATATTTAAAATAAAAAATTTAATACGATTCGAAAATTGTAATTTTACAAGAATTTATCAAGCCGAAGCCGAAACTTTTAGATGGAAAGCTTAAAATCATTCTCTCCTCGGGGCATATTAAATGATTCCGTTCATTTAAAAGTTTAGTTCCGACAGACCAGGGACAACGGCATCGTGCATTTTGTTTTGACAATTGTAATTGCAAAGATAGAAAAAGTGCATTTTATTGCTAATTTCTAAGTCATTCTATCCTTGCCGTGAACTGTGAGTGATCCATAAAAATATTGATAAAATTATAATTACTTTTGAAAAATCGTTATAAGTAAAACTACTTTTATATTGTACCCATTACATATATTTTTTAATAATGGATGCTTATTGCTCTTTTCCTTGGGACTCCCTGTACTAAATGATGACCCTATACCCTGAGATTAATAGTGTAAATACAATCTTAAGAATCAGAATTCCTCTTTTAAACCTCTTTCTAAATCGAAGAGAAAAATTTTAATTAGAGTTGACTTATTTTTACATTGTGTACTTAGATTCCACATACTTCAATACCCATCCTCTATATTCCCCCCC